GGGTCAGGGCTGCTCGGAGGAGGAGGCTGCCGCTGCTGCGAGCCCCCTGCCACTGGCGAAGGCAGGAAGGTGGTGAAGGCAGGCAGGAGGGAGCGAGCGCCCGGCCTGGCCCCACCTCGGTCCCTGTCTTGCCCCATTCTTGGTTGCGCACCGTGGCAGAGGCGGAGAGGGCCCCCTCCCTGACCGACCGCCCCAGCTTGCCCGCCCGCCATGGGTAAGTACCAGGAGCTGATGACAGCAGTCAAGGCGGAGGACGTGGGCACCATGCAGAAGCTGCTGCAGAGGCCCAAGTCCGGCAAGGGCAAGGCCAGTAGGAGGAAGGTGTTACAGCGGGAGGAAGGCGCCGGGGGGGGGGGGGCGCCAGCACTGCTGCAGTTCGCGAGGAGTTGTCCGTCTCTGGCAGGGCTGCCGGGTTGCAGGTGTCAGGGAAGGACCCATGTGTGTGTGGGGAGGTTGGCCTGTGGCGCCGGGTACCCTGTTGGAGAGGCCGGGGTGGCCCTTGACGGGTGGGACGAACAGGAAGGGGACCCAGTTGGCGGGCGCTGTTGTGCCGGTCGTGCACCCCTGCCGGGCTTCACTTTCGGGAAGCTTTGTTTCCCTTTCCCCCACACACACGTCTCCAGGCCCCACCGGGAGGTTGGCATCTGCGCCTCGCCTACGGCCCAGAAACACCTCGGGCCGGCCCTGTACTGAGTATCTTCTAATTCTCAACAAGGCCACATTTGTAGTTACTTAAATCTGGAGACTCAGGCCATGGCCATGGAGAAAAGCCCCAGGTTTGCAGAAAAATCTGAAATCTTTAAAAAAAATCATTGGGGTTAAAACTTTCCATAATAACATAAGCAGTGGCAGTAGCTTTAAGAAACAGATGCCCTCGGTGGCAAATGCTAGGCAACCTTTGGTTTCTGTCAGTAAAAAGCAGGGGGGGAGGGCCCTTTCCAGGGGTGGACACATTGGGACCAGGCCTAATAGCAACCACCCATCCATTTGCTCCCACATGACTTGCTTGACTCAACCAGGACTCAACCACTTGCTACTGTTCAAGACCAGCCACCCCATGATAGTCAGGGTGGTGTAGTGGTTAGAGTTTCAGATTAGGATCAGATTCCCACTCTCCTGAGGAACCTCACTGGGTGACTTTGGCCCAGTCGCATATTCCCAACCTAACCTGCATCACAGGGTTCTTGTGAAGATAAAATGGAGGAGAGCAGAATAATGTAAGCTGCTTGGGTTCCTACTGGGGGGGAGGCACAAGTGAAATAAATAACTAATAAATAAAGCTGAAGATGGGGGCAGATAAAAGAAAGGGCGGTTCTTGAGTGGGAAGGACAGAAGGGAGCAGGAAAGAGCAGAGGATATGGGGGTTGCCAGGAGAAGGAAAAGTCATAGTGTGGGAAAGGGGCTACATGGGAAAATGAAGCAATCTCTGGAAGACCTTGCTGTTTCCCCATTGCACAACTGGACCCAGTGGCCAGCAATGTGCAACTGGGCCCAGCCTGGTGGCCAGCACTACACACTTCAGCCATAGTTCTCCTGGGCAGAGGAAAGCAGAGAAAGCTGAAGACAGGGAGCACAGATCAATGTAGGTCGGCTAATAGTTGGAAAGGAGAGATATAAGTAGGAAAAGGGGAGAGGCTATGAGGGTTTTTCATGGAAGGGAAACAGGAAATAGTGCTTGTTCTTCCTTAACCCCCTGTAATAGGCGTGAACACAAAATTCAAGGTGCAATTGCCTGTCATTCGTCATAGAACTAAATAATGACCAAACTCTTTCTGTTATGAATGTTAAAGAGAAGGCAGGTCTATAAACAGCAAGTCAAGTATGATCCAGAAGATGGGGACCAGTACAGGGGTAGGTTAAGTATCCTGGGGTAGAAGAACACTAGATGGAATTTAGGTGCAACATAAAGCCTCAGGCCTATGCATGAAAGAGAAGGTGAGTGTACCCTGGAAGCCCTCCTTGCACTTGCAACGATAGCCATTGACGTGGTCAGTGCAAGTTCCTCCATGCTGGCACGGATTTGATTCACACTCATTGCGGTTCACATCACAGTTGGTGCCTGCCCACCCTGGCTCACACTCGCATCTGTACCTATAAGGAAAGGAGGCAGAAGACATAGGGTTGAGGGGTTTTTTTCTATCTTCCAAAAGTCTCCGCCTACAATTAACCCAACCCCATTTGACTGGCCTACAAGGACTAGCTTAACCATCTCCTGTCTTCACTGCTATTCCAAGACAACAGGAGACCATCCAGCAACTAAGCTGAACGTCATCCTGCAGTGAGATGCACTCTGGGGATCAGTCTTACCCATTGATGTCATCGTGGCATGTGCCGTGCACACAGGGGCTGCTACTGCACTCATCTACTTCTGAGTAGCAGTGTGGATCATGGAAACCCTCAGGGCAGACACAAGAAAAGCCATCTTCACCATCCACACAGGTGCCACCATTCTTGCAGGGATTGGATGCGCATTCATTAATCTCTACGTTGCACAAGGGACCTAAAGGAGAGAAGGGACTGCTCAGCCGTGGGATGAATAAGGGCACCCTTCTCGGCTTTGAAGTCAGTCAGATCAGCACAACTTTGCCTCTGGTGCCGAGCCCCAAGCTCAGCCCACCTTTGAGAAGCACCACTTCAAGTTCTGCCTGTGAAGATGCAAGTCCAAATATGACACTACTTCTTGATCAAGTGCTGCAAACACTGGAACCAGACTTTCCTCTCTGCTTCCTTTCTCCACCCCCTTGCAACAACTCTCCCCAGCCATCACCTGTGAAGCCTGGTTTGCAGATGCAGTCATAACGGTTGATGCCGTCACGGCATATGCCATAATCACAGGGGTTGCTGGCACAGTCATCAAAGTTCATCTCACAGTTCACACCTGAGGGAGAAAGACACATTAGAGGCCTGGGCAACACTACAGTCACACCAGCAGAACCCTCAGCAAGCCAAGGAATTCCCTCCTGTTAGGTGTGCCAAGTAGATGAAGGAAGGAGACACAGCTCATCATCGACTGCCTGACAATGGCAAACGATGCAATGGCCTGAAATGGATGGAACACAAGCAAAAAGAAGGATGACAGGACAGTGTCCTACCTGAGGTACCTGGCTGGCAGTGGCACAGGTATTTATTGACCAAGTCAATGCACTTGCCACCGTGCTGACAGGGATTGCTGTGGCATTCGTTGATCTGATTCTCACAACGGTAACCAGTGTAGCCAGCTGCACATGTGCAGGTGAAGCTGGCAATACCATCCACACATGTGCCATGGTGACAGGGATCTGGTGAGCAGTCATCAATGTTCCTCTCACACAGAGGCCCCTCAAAACCTGTACAGGGAAAGCAACGTCGGCATGGTTCAAAGTTGTTTGCAGAACTCCGCCTTCTAACCTTAAACTGAATTTAGATATGGAAAAGAAAACAGAAACCCTACAAATACTAATTTGCTCTTGGGATCAGGAATACAGAAACCTCACTCGGTGCTGAAACTAAAAAAGAGGCATGAATGGTCCATGAATCAGGCCCTGCCCATCTACGACTTTTCTTCAAGCTTCAGCTATCCTTCCCTGAAAAGTGCTCAATCAATGCTTGGGAAAGGATCATGCCCCACAATGCCTGAACTTCTCATGGCTAGAGCATGCATGCTTTTTAAGAAAGGCAACTATAAAGGAGGATTTAGGAGTAGTCTCCCATTGCTATGTCAAAGTCTAATAGTTCTTGGACAGATATCACTGCAGCGTTTTCTTCTAGCCAGAATGAACCTACTGCATGCAAAGCAGTGTTCTACCACTGGGCTATGGCACCATTCCTAAACAACAGTCCTGTCGGAAGGAAGGAAGGAAGGAAGGAAGGAAGGAAGGAAGGAAGGAAGGAAGGAAGGAAGTCACCTTCTGTACAACGGCACTCATAAGCATTGGGCCGATCCACGCACTTGGCACCATTCTGGCAGGGTGTACTGGCACATTCATCAATGTCAATCTGGCACATAGAACCAGAGAAGCCTGAATTCATAGAGAGAAAAGGTGGTTAGACACATCAGATGAACCAGTGAAACAAGAAATATACACAAATTCTGACAGTGTTTACATACATAGCCCCACATAGCCCAATACAGGAAGAAAACAGCCTGTTGATGGGTATGGAACTCCTGCTACTCTTTATCTGCTTTGACATACAAAATCGTGAACCATCTGTACCATTTGTGTAAAGGAGCTGTTGAGTGGGTCAGTTCAGCTCTGGAAATACTGCCCCTACAGTTATCCCGATTTCCCCAGCTGAGCTCCACATAGGGCTATGTGAGAAAAACCAATGAACTCAGAAGCCCCCAGCTGTTAGCAAGAGACAAAAGCAGTTTGAAGATAGAGAAGCACTGTCTGAGGGAAAAGTAAAAATGAACTAACTAGGCTGACAAAAGGGCCGGTGGAGAGTGTCCAAAATAGGTATGTGGCTACATCAACCCTAGTATAAAACTAACATTTTGGACTGGAACTTCCAAATAGTGGGAGGAAAAGTAGGTTCACACTCAGAAGGAAAAATTATGTGGGACAGATACCTCCTCCAGCTCCAGCCAGCTTGCACAGCTCAGCCCTACCACCAGAGGCCCATAGCAAGGGCTCATAAGGCCCCCCCCCCACTCTCCACAGGGGGCTTCGCAATGTCTGCCCCACATGTAAATTGGGTTCAGGGGCCTGTGCGACAGGCTGGGGGAACAAAGATACCATTGTCCCAGCTCCCACACAGCAAGCTATAGGCCTGTCTGTCAATCAACCCTAGAAGGAACTGAATGGAGGACAGGGCCCCCCACCCGCTCGGTAGCAGAGAGGCTGGGCAGGGCCTGGCAAATGAGCTGAAAGCGCTTCCTGAGGGCTGTGGCTGAGTCCCAAACACCAACAACAAACTCCTCAAACCAACGTCCGAAGTCAGCAAAAGACTCCTCAGCAAACTTCCCCACAATGCAAAGAATGAGAGGAAGCACAAGGGGCAGTGTGAGCCTAGGAAAACTACATTACAAGTCTGCTATGAGACTCGAATCCAGCAGACCCATCTGAATTCACGCCAGAGGCAGACACTCCCTGACTTCAAGAGGGGGGGGGGAAATAGTAGGAAGAAGGAATAGAAACCAGGCTCCCTATGAAAGGGCAGATATTTCCTGGCCTTTTCAAAGTAAAGATTGAACTGGCTTCAGGTGCATATACAGGCATCCCCCCCCCTCACACACACACACAAAGAGAGAACACCAGACTTTCAAACATGTAGGATTCATGCTCATCCAAGGTGCAGAAAGATTCTCTCTAGTGCTATGGGGTCCAGGTTCATTCTTTTCCAGGCCAAAAGATGAGTGTCTTGTTGGCAAAATGCCTAGGCTTGCCTGAGGGGCAGGTGCAGCTGAATCCGTTGACAATATCCTTGCAGATACCCCCATTGACACAGGGGTTACTCTCACACTCGTTGATGTTGATTTCACAGTAGGTGCCGCTGAAACCTGCAACCCAGAGAAACCATGTTACAAAGCCAAGCCTCATCCCAACAGGGAATTTTGCCTCCCATACTATACATGTGGCACATATACTGCACACAGTAATAATGCTACAAGGGCCCACACATCCTGGCAGGGTCATGCCTAGGGACACTAATATGTTACAAGTGTACCCTAAACGGTGACATTTTACTTCCAAGTGCAAAACCTAAGCCACTCAGTAAATCCTTGAAAATCTAAGCCTCTTCCACACAAAGCAGTTGCTAACCCTCATTATTGCCAAGATTAAGTTTTAAAAGGTGAAAATAGTTTTCACCATTAGAAGGTTATGAATCTAAATGAGCACAAGCACCTTTTCCCCATTTCATCTAACTCCCTGTCATTTTCCATGATTCCCCAATCCCATCTTCCCTGCTGCTGCCCACTAAATGTCCCTATGGTTCATCCCTTCCCCTCTAGGATTTTACTATATCTCCATTTTTTAACCAAGACAGATTATCTAATTTAGCAGAACACTGTCACTGTTGCTATGTCTACTGACGATGAATGGACCTTCAATAATCATATTTGATCCATCGATTTTTAAAAGTTTTCACAATCTGTGTAACTGCTAAGGTCATTCTGGATTTTAGTCTCAGACATGAAGTAAAACAAAGGTCCTTTTCATGCTCCAACCAAGCCACTAATTACAGACAGTGACAGAAAAGGAAACTAGCAGTGACATCCTAAACAGAGTTATACCCTTTTAAGCCTATTGGATTCAATGGACTTAGAAGGGTATAATTCTGTTCAGGATGGCACAGTAAAATAGTGTATGCTTTCTCGCACACTCACAAAATTATACTCATACACTTCACATGTCTTATACTGGGGTATACTGTTTGTCTCTCTAGTTCAGCACTGTCTATTTCTATTAGTTACAGCTGTCTAAGTACATCTTCCCTGTCCTGCTTCCCCACAATCAATTTTTCACTGGGGATCCTGAGGACTTCAACATGCAAGCAAAGCATGTTCTCCAGTGATGACCTGCAAACATGCTTCCTGCTGTAGAGGCAATGGGATGCTACGGAGATGGCAAAGGCAACCATAATCCAAAAAAGGGCAAGTCACAGGAAGGAGACACTAGATGTCCCGTACATTAGGATAGTACAGGGTAAGGAATGCTGAAGAATGGAAGCAGTGTGCCAGACCCAGGTTCTGTTGCAAAATCTGCCCTCCTGCCAGTCTCTACACATACCAGGCAGGGCTGCTCCAAAGTGACAAGTGCTGCATTAAGGCACAAAGCTGAATTTCAAGCTTTGCCCTTTCTAGCTACCATTAAAAATGTTTCTGCTTTGATTCCTCATTAGGGATAAAAGCAGAATAGAAGTACAAAATAACCAATTAAAACAAAATAAATAGGAAGAGTCCGCTGCTTAGCAGCACTCTGGAAATCTCAAGGGACAATCCCATTCCTTGGCTCATTGTGGTGGATTTTGGCGGACAATTGCCTTCTAACAGCTATCTCAGCTTCTGAGCAGGGCACAATCATGCCTCCATGCACACTTCTTTCCATATGCTTAGGCCGGTCTAAGTGAAGTGACAGAAGGGACATAATCTTCTCACTTGGAAAATGGGCAAAGATTGCACTGAAATGCCCAAAGGTTGCTCAGAAATCACAGCCATTAGAATTCCACATTCTCCTGCTGTCCCCTCAGAGACTAATACACAGCCTGGTTCTTGGGTCCACTTTATGGAATATCTTTCTCCTATACATTATATATACTCGAAAAGAAAGAAAGAAAGAAAGAAAGAAAGAAAGAAAGAAAGAAAGAAAGAAAGAAAGAAAGAAAGATATACAAGGTTATATTTGAAGGTAAAGCTTTTGCTCGAGTTACACATTTCTCGTAACTAATGTGCAAAACAGTTTCCAAACATGGGATTAAGGCAAAAGAAACAGGTTTATCTCCAACCATAATTTCTTCCCTATTTGATTTAGTGAGTTAAAAATAGCACATATAAAGTAGCCTTGTTCTGCCTCTTCTGCCCTATCAGAGAAACGTTGCCCAAAGCTAGGAGAGAGCACACAAAAATCTAAAAACGATGGTGATACAACATCTCTATATAGTGTGTAATCTGTAATCTCACAGCACAGAAACTTCTCGATGCAGACATCTACACGGCATGGGTGCATTCCATGCCTTTTCCAGAGGCGTCTAGAAGAATGAATGAGACAGAAAGAGAAGCTCCTGGACAAGTACTCAGCTACTTCCCCCATTGACAAAATAACCAGAGCTGGGAACTGTGTCAGAGGTTGCAGTGACCACAGGAGGGAGGCAGGAGGTGAGTCTGAAAGGGTCATACTGCCAGGTAGCCCTGTCATGGTGTTGGAATGTAAGGGGGGATATTATTTCCCTCCCGTTCTCAGCGCTGCTCCACTATCTGGCACATTGGCCTTGAAGATGGTTTTCTGTAATTCCCCAGGCCTGGGAACTGTAACTGCTTTAGGGGCAAAATTGCTTGCTTTCTTGGCTTCGCAGGGGGGGGAGCTGTTTGAATATTCTATAAATTAGTGGCCATCTTATTACAGGTCATTCTTAACACAGGCTGTATACATGTACTTTAGTTCTGTGTTACCATAATAAACACCTATCTTCTGAAGAAGTCTGGGTGTGTGGATTAACTGCCTAAGTTCCTGACAAAGTGTTAAGAATCATTCTTGACTCGAATCTCTCTGTGGAGATGAGCAAAGGCACAACCCGACGGCAAGGACCAAACCTTGCCTGAGGATACCTCGGGCGGCACCGAGAAGGTGGAGAAGGATCCACAGGACACGGAAGAAGTTGTTCTCCATGCTCCCTTCGGGGAGGCCCAGGCCCAGGTGACTACCTGTCTGTGGGGGGCCCGTTGGGGCCGGTTCAGTGAGAACCCGCATGAAACTTGGACTTTTTATTCACCTATGGCGCCGGTGGCTCACTGGCAGGGAAGTCGCTATGACAAGGCGCCCAGCCTAGACGAGTATGAGACGGAGGTTTGCGGTGACATTCCCCTTCGTGCAGTTAAGGGGCCCGATGTGGTAGTGGAACATGAAGACATGGGTGAGGAGTTTGTCGGCACCCAGTTGGACCTACTCGAGAGGGGGTTCAACCAGATGATGTAGATGCTTGAGAACTCTCTTCAGGGAATCCCTACCATGGTTGCCATGGCAGTGCAACAGGAATTTCAGCGACAGGGCCCACTGCAACTGGTACCGCAGGTACAAGCATCAGGAGCCCCTTCAGGTTCCCACGCCACGGCTACCCCCTCCTGTGGTTCGCCCTCCCTTGAGACCACTGGGGCCCGGGGTTCTGGCAATCCCGTGCCCAGTTCTCCATCGCCCAACTTAGCCCCTGGATGCGACGTTCGATGGATCTCCAGAGAACCTGCAGTTCTTCGTGGTGCGCGCCCAAAAATTCGTAATGAATTGGGGCCACCTTCTTTCCAACCGAAGAACGCAGAATGGATTACATCACTTCCTGGCTGCGGGACAAGGCAGCGGGCTGGTATGTTAGTCTGCATAACACTGATGGACCAGAACTCCAGTCAGTGGATGCCTTCACGTGGGCCCTCCAGGCTCAGTTCGAAGATCCCAACACGGGAGCGCAGGCAAGAGCCTTTTTACACACCTTCAAGCAAGGTAGACTGTCAGTCAAGGCGTAAATGAGTGAATTCAGGAGGCAAGTGGCACAAATTAGAGGTCCTGGCAGAACAGTACTGTTTGGACCTTAACCCGGAGGTCCAGGAGACGGTTCTGCATAGCATCAACCCAAACTCCCTGAACGCCTGGATTCGTGAGGCAGCGGATGCAGAGACCCGCCTACGCACCATCAAACTCGATAACGCTACTACGGTGGGTAAGACGGTGCTGGCCTCACCTAAGCAGAAGGCACCACCCTCAAAGAAAGAAGGAGTGATAGACCTACGTATGAAACAAGGTGTGTGCCTGAAATGTGGATTACCGGGCCATTTTGTGGCCACATGTCCGGGGGGGGGGGACTTCACCCACCCAGGGGGATTCCCGGGCCACTTTGTGGCCGCATGTGCGGGGGGGGGGGGACTTCACCCACCCAGTGAAGAAACCATCGGAGAAGCGAAGGTCTGATACGCTTGGGAAGAAACCTTCCGTGAAGCCGAAGGGCCCCAAAGCTCTGCAAGCTAGCATCCCGGAGGAGGAGCCAGGAGGCGTTTGAGCACCTGAAAGTTCTGTTTACATCCGAACCAGTGTTAGTCCACTGAAACGAACTTTAAAAGTTTATTGTGCAAGTCGACGCTTCTGACGTTGCGATGGGGGGGCAATCCTTCAGGAGGGGGAGGATGGGAAACTCCACCCCTTGGCGTATGTTTCCCGGAAGTTCAATGACACTGAGTGTAACTGACCTGTTTGGGATAAGGAAGCGGGAGCCATCAAGCTGGTACTTTCTGCCTGGCGCCTCTGGTTGGAAGGGTCCCTTTTGAGGTGTGGACTGATCACAAGAACTTGGAAGTTATGCACACTCCGCGCAATCTAAATGCCAAACAGGTTCGCTGGGCTGACTTCTTTTCCAAGTTCAATTTCACATTACACCATTTCCCCGGGAAAGTGAACTCTCTGGCCGATGCTTTGTCCTGCCTCCCGCAACACGACAGCAAGCGGGAGGGGGTGCTTGACTCCATGTTCACGCCTACACAGTTGGGAGGGGTTGTAGTGACACGCGGCCGAGCCTTGGCCCCTCCTGACTCTGCCTCTACGTCTGGATGGGAGGGGAAATTTGCTTCCGCCCTCTCTGAGGTGGACCGTCTGGAACTGAGCAAGGAGAGGGAGACAGTGGAGCACCCAACCGGCTGTTGGTACAAGGGTTCCAAATTATTAGTTCCTCTGACACTGCGGGGAGAAATTATGTCTGTTGTTCATGGCAACAAACTGGCCGGCCATTTGGGGTTTGTCAAATCCCTTCATCTCCAGTTTTGTTCAATCATGCCAAACCTGCATTATGTGCAAAGCTCGACCAGGTAAACCTCTAGGGTTGCTACAACCTCTGCCTCCCCCTGGACGGCCCTGGGAAGTCATTTCTATGGATTTTATTACTGACTTGCTGCTCATCAAGGGAAAAACTGTCATTTGGGTAGTCGTGGATTTGTTTCCAAACAAGCACATTTTGTGCCATTTAAAGCCCTTCCTACGGCCCACATCTTGGCCAAGGCATTTATTTAGCATGTCTTCCAGCTGCATATGCTGCCCCAGAAGATTATCTCTGACCGGGGGGTCCCAATTTGTCTCCAAGTTCCGGGGGGAGCTCATGTCCCTCATGGGGGTCGAAAGAGGCCTCAGTAGCGCCTACCACCCCGAGACTGACGGCCAGATGGAAAGGGTTAATCAAACCTTGGAACAGTACCTCCGCTGTTTCACAAACTACCAGCAAGACGATTTGGAGGGTCTCCTCCCTTTGGCTGAATTTTGTTACAACAATGCTTGTCACTCATCGACTGGTGTTTCCCCGTTCATGGCTATGTCTGATTATGAGGCACCTCCCATCCCGTTTCTGTCAGAGGGGCCTCTCCCGGCTGGGGAGGTGGGAGAATGGTGGCAACGTTTAAAAGATGCGTGGCCCCTCCTTTGCAAGACATTGGACTCAGCTAAACTGGCCTATAAGTCCCAGGCCGATAAGAAACAGTCTGAGGCATGGGATTTGAAGCCTGGCGATTCTGGGTACATTTCCACCAAAAACATCAGGAACCTACGGCCCAGCCGTAAATTGGGGTAGAAGTTTATTGGACCTTTTAAGGTCCTCCGCAAAATCAATGATGTAGCTGTGGAGGTGGACTTGCCTAAGAATTTAAGGCACTTACATGCTTTTTTCCGTTTCAGCCTTCTCCGTCGTGATCCTGGGACTAATGCTTGGCGACCGCAATCTGCAACCCCACTTTAGTTCTGCGTTACCATAATAAACACCTATCTTCTGAAGAAGCCTGGGTGTGTGGATTAACTGCCTAAAGTTCCTGACACATACAGGCCTAGAGTTTGCATCAGAGAAAACCGTGGAGATGGGGCCATATGGAGGAGCTTGGAAGAGACTGGTGACATTTTTTGTTTGTCTTGATTAACAGAGCTGAGATTTGAGACAGACAGAAGAGAGGATGGCCGGAACTGCAGGGACCTGCAGACTGTGAGGACCATAGTTCACACCACAGGCAAACGAGAATCAAAGACAAGGCACCAATGTGTTTGCTCACGTGGATTTGAGAAATTACAGGCACATGCACAAGGGCATATGCTTTGAGGAACGTATTGCAACAGGAACAGTGCAATCTTTTACAGAGTTACTCCAGTCAAGGCCACTGATTTCCAAAGCCTTAGACTGGAATAACTCAGCACAGAATTGCACTGCTAATGGCCCAGTCAAAAACATCCCAGCTTGCAACTGCAGGAAAGGACTGGCTGGGAGTGAACATTGTAATGTTAATACATGCTGCCTCCTAATTTCTTCTAGACTCAGTGCTCCAAATCTCTCATCGAATCCAAATCAGAATGGTTTCAGGACATTGCAGTGCTGACTCGGAGCAAAAAGGCAACACTAAAACCAAATTTACTAACCACTAGTCCAAAGCCATTCCCAGCTAGTAGGGCCCACCCCTCCCCAAGGTTTTCACAAAACAGCCAGCATCAGCCTATGAGTCAGCAAGCAAGGAGAATGTTCCTCCCCATATGGGGTAACAGAAGCACAAAGCAGAGCCAATTCACAGTGCCCGCCAGGCCAGCCCCACCATTAATATTCCAGGCACAATGCAGCACTCCCACTGTCTATATGAACACTGCACTGATTTATAAGGTATTGCACAGCCACAATGGGGACAGCAGTTACAACCATCCCTCACTTTCCAAGGATGCCTCCATATAGATTTCAATACTTGTCTCAGTCCTATCCGCACCTGAGGACCGCTGAAAGGCCGCGAGCTTAAAGTAAGCATCGCAACACCCAGTAAGATGGAGGGAAAGAAAATGCCAGCAGTATATGTATGTCTAGCCGCATGTGAACAGCTCAGTGTTACAGTGCTAGTTTTCTCCACAACACAGCTCTTCTACATGGACTCCTCTAGACTATATTTTCCATCTAGACTAGAAGTGCTAACCACCTACACTGTCTAGCTGGGGAGACTCAGGTTAAGACGACTTCCAAACAGCATGGGCATCCCCATGACTATCTATCCATCCACTCTGTTTCAGCTACGTTCTGTGACTCAGAAGTGCCAGTGTCCACAAACATACCTGCTCCATACACTTTCCACTTTACCACACAGAGGTTGACAACATCCCTGGAATAGGTTATTGACAGTGAACTAAAGCAAGAAGATAACTGCCTTAGCTCACTCAACAAGTTTGCCCGCAACAGAGATTTGACCCCAGGACTTTGGCATCCACGTTCAGCTACATGCCTGCCAATCCCTTCCCACTGATTTCATTTCCTCCTTCCTTCCTCCCGCCCTCCCTCCCACTGCCCACAAAATCAGACGCTGCATCTTTGCTCCAGTGGCTGATGCTGAGGGAACCCACCTGACATGCAGATGCAGGTAAACTCCCCAATGCGGTCAAGGCAGGTAGCATCATTCTGGCAAGGCATGGAGAGGCACTCATTGATATCCGTTTCACACCGTGGTCCTGTGTAGCCACGCCCGCACTGGCACTGGAAGGACCCTTGCATGTTCACACATTTGCCAAAGTGCTCACATGGATTGGCTCCTGGAGATGGTAAAGGCATGCAAAGTGAACATGGCTGGGCCAAAATGGTGTTCCCTCAAGGTTCAATTCAAGGATAAACCCAGTCGAGGAATGAGAAAGGCATTCCAGCTAAGCTAAACTGTCTTACTAGCTAATATGCCATCCCACAGAGCTAGCAAGGCCCAATTCAATAGCCCCTTGAAAGTCCAATGGTAGGGTGGTGGTCCTCCTGCCTTTCCCCTTTGATTCTGCAAAAATGAGAGAGGTGCATTATTCTCACCAATGGAGCACTCGTCTACATCCTGGTCACAGGCTCCTCCTGTGAAGCCCGGTGGGCAGGTGCAGATGGCACGGCCATTCATCGGGTTGGTGTCACAGATGGCACCTTCATGGCAAGGGTTACTGACACAGGCATCATCCAGGTGACAGAGGAGGCCTAGAAGAAAGTAAGACCATGACAGGCAACCACATAACAGCAGCAAACACAAATGGGTAGGAATTCATGGGAGAAGCAAACTCTGGTTTCACAATCTCTTTCCATGCTAGAAAGACACTCCATTCACGTCACCCGATATCCCATCCACCCATTCTGATCTTTTCACAACACTGCCCCAAACCTTCTAAACTCTGCCACGTATCTTCTGAACAGAACAAATGTACACAAAGGTGATACATTCTGCAAGGTAGAAGCCAGCTACCTGTCTTGCCCATGGGGCATGCACAGTAGAAGGAAGCCACACGGTCATGGCAGGTAGCACCCTGGAAGCAGACCGCTGTCTGACAGTCATCAATGTTCTCACTGCAGCTCTCTCCTGTCCAGCCATTGACACAAACGCACGAGTGGCCTCCATCTGTATTGAAGCAAGTGCCTCCGTTGTGGCACGCATTGGGCTGCAGCTGGCACTCATCCACATCTTCAGTGCAAAACTGGCCTAGGGAGCCAAACAGAGATTAAGTCCATCTGTGCTAAAAACCTTACCAACCAGGGCCACAGCACCTTCTCTCTCTCCCTCCCTCACCCTCCCAACTACCTTTGATCTTCTTTGCCCTGAAATACCCAAGGCTAGGGATGGTACAAAAAGCTTCCACTTCATCAAATGAAAAGCTGCCTTGCTAAGGTCTGCAAAGGACACGAACTCCCAATTCACTGGCAGGACAAAGTCAATGTATTTCAAAACTGGAGGGAGGAAATGTTTATTACCTATTCTGTGCTCCAACCAGACTGCCTGACTTGGAGGCTTGATTTTAGCGAGCATCCCATGGACAAGGAAAGGAAACACATCTAAACCATTAAGACCCTTTCCCCCATTTCAGCACCCTCGTTTTAATCCAGTTCAGGCTCTCAGACTGATATGGCAGTACCTGTCCACTCTGGAGGGCACTGGCAGTTGTAGGTGTTCACGCCATCCACGCATGTGCCTCCATTCATGCACATGTGGTCTGGACAGTCGTCAATGTTGATCTCACAGTTGTGGCCCTCAAAGCCTGAAGACAGAGAATGTAGCCAAGTTGGTAACCATGGAAAGGCAAATTCCACAAACTCCCAATAACCCACCTATAATGTGCAACCAGATTCCAAGATTTTTAAAATTATAGGTTCAAGCTTTTCCAGCAGCTCAACCACAGCGACAGCAATGAACAAACCCAATTTGGAACAGAGCTTGTGAGGTCCCCTCTCCTCTTTCTGGGACCCATTTTCTCTTCAGGTCTCCAAACAGAAAAGGAGAAAGAAATAACCAGGTATTCCAATGTGTTCTGGATCTGACACGCAAAGCTGCAGCTTCAGAAACTACAGCTGCCATCTGCCAGTTCTTCCCACCTCCCCTGGATTGCTTCCTTCCTGCCCCACCAAAGCCCTCAACAGCTTCCTATGAGCTTCCTGTCAGGACAACAGAAAAACAAAGCACAGAACAGGGTCACAAGTGAAAAAAAGCTAGGCTTGTGTTCCAAGGGCCACTCATCATCACCTAACTGTCCCAAGGGATGTTCTTGCCCTGGATCTGCCCGTCCAGCACTCCTTCCCACAATCTCACAAATAACATCAAATAATAAATCCCACAAGCTCACTCACCAGGCAGGCATGCACACTCATAGCTGAGTTCTCCTGTCTGGCGGCAGGTGCCCCCATTGAGACACTGAGACGGGGCACAGGGTGTAGAGATGCTCTCACAGAGCTGCCCTGTGTAGCCAGCTTGGCACTGGCAGCGGAAGGAGCCTTGTGTGTTGAGACAAGTACCCCCATGCTGGCATAGGCCAGGCACCCGACATTCATCCACATCGCTCCGGCAGTTGCGGCCCTGATAGCCGGGCAGACACGTACAGTTGAAGCGACCATTCCAGTTGGTACAGCGGCCACCATTGAGACACGGCTTGCTGGCACAGACATCCAGCAAAGAGCAGTCCTGACCTGTAGAAGGGAGGCAGAAGACCTAACGAACTTTGGGTCTGGAATGGCGTTAGGACTTTCCTGGAAAGCCAACTTATCACCAACATTCTGCACTGATCCACTCTGGAGACCTCCCCCAGTGGATCAGATATCCACCAGGAGAAAAAAGCTTCCAGAACTTCTACTGACAGCCATGGTAACACAAAAACCATGCTGTGTGTCCTTACCTCGAAAGCCCTTGGGACAGGTACACTGGTAATGCACAGTACCATCACGCAGGGTGCTCTCACACGAGCCCCCATTGGCACAGGTTGACTGGTGGCAAGGATCCTGAAACTGACAGTGCTCTCCAATCAGTCCAGGCTGGCAGCTGGCAAGAAAAAAGAAAGGGAAAATTTATAGATGACATCAGGCATTCATTCTAGGACTACTGTATACTGATGACACTCTGGAACCTGAAGTCCCAAACCCTACAACTATCAGGAAGGTTGCATGGGGGAAATCAAAGGGAGCAAGTTACCACCACATGAGAAAACACATCTCTAGAGAAGTTATGTGCAGGATAGTGGAGGACTGTAGTTGGCACTGGAAGCCTCTTGAGAGGAACATGTCCAGGTGACAGCCTAACGCCCCGGTCACACTAGCGTAAATTCACTTAAAAAATAACTCCTTCCCCCTCAGACAACTGCGGAATACCATCACAGCCATGGGCTTAACCAAATACAAACCTGTATTTTAACCATTAGAGCAAACAAACAGCAACAGTCCACCACATCACATAATCAGTTAGACCATATTCATGAACAACTGAACCACTGCAAAACCTAAAGGACCAGAAGTCATGTCCATTAAGAGAGGGTGGGTAGGATTGCCCCACTCTGGACCACCGAGAAGGAAGCTTCACGGTAAGTGAATACAAATCTTCCATTCTCCGGTGGTCCAGGAGTGGGGCAGTCCTTGACTCCTTACTCCTGGGACATAAAAAAGCAGTGCTCCCCCCGGGTGGGTCACACAGCTTCCGGTGCCCTCAGGGCCTGAAGGAGCACTCTACTGTCAAATGCTGCTTCTGCCGAGGCTAGTTTGTCAATCCTATAGTACTTTGTAAAGGAATGGACAAATTTCCATGTCACCACCTTACAACTTCTAGGGACGGCAAGGCCCTATATGCCGCCAATGTGACTGCCCCCCATAGAGTGCCCTGTGACCCCTACTGGAGGTACGAACCCCTACACCTTGTATGCCTGACTGATCCTTATCCACCTGCTCAGGGCAGAAGTGGAGACACTCTTTCCCAGGGACAACTGAGTAACATACCCAAACAAGGATTCAGTCTTTCTCAACCCCATGGAACCAGGAGTTAACTTTGGGGGTGAACGCTGGGGCTGGTCTAAGGACGACCCTGCCGTTGTAGAAGGTACATAAATCTGTATGTACCGACAAAGCTCTCAGCCCCAAAAATCTATGCGCTGAAGTGATCCCCACTAAGAAATTGTTTTCAGAGTAATATCTTTCATGAGACATGATGCCACTGGTTCAAACGGCTCCTTGCATAGTGCTC